ATTTACTGTCGCGTTGGTACAATGAATTTACTACAATATTGCCGTCGGTATACCGTATCTCACGACGCGTGCCATCCGCGTACCTTAACTAATACATAAATCCAATGATAATATTTATCGTACGTTACTTCTAAAATATATTCGATCAATCGTTATTTAAAACAAAACTTTTTGCTACGCTCGAGTAAAACCTTTTTAATTTATAATAATTAATATTTAAGATATAGGTGAAGTAAGAGGAACAGGCGTGATGAACGGGAGAGTAAAGAAGAAGAAGAAGAAGAAGAAGAAGAAGAAGAAGAAGAAGAAGAAGAAGAAGAAGAAGAAGAAGAAGAAGAAGAAGAAGAAGAAGAAGAAGAAGAAGAAGAAGAAGAAGAAGAAGAAGAAGAAGAAGAAGAAGAAGAAGAAGAAGAAGAAGAAGAAGAAGAAGAAGAAGAAGAAGAAGAAGAAGAAGAAGAAGAAGAAGAAGAAGAAGAAGAAGAAGAAGAAGAAGAAAAGAAAAAGAAAGAAATAAGAAAAGCAAAAGAAAAGGAAAAAAAAGTGAGCTATAAGAAGTCTTTGCGAGTATTAAGAAACCTTATCGATATTGAGTCTGGTGAGCACAATTAGATTCGTCGTAGATCAAGCGAGCGCCATTAGCTGCGACAAGAAGTTAACGATTATCTCGACAAACATATAATAGCTTTCGTAGATCGATCTAAAGATTTTTTATAATATATATTATATACTCTCTTTCTTTCTCTCTCTCTCCCTCTCTCTCTCTCTCTCTCTCTCTCAACATACATATATAATATTGAATCTCTCGATATAAAAAAAATATTTTTTATTTACGAGAGATAATTAATTAGATTAAGGTTAACATATAGATAAAAGATATTGCTTGAGGAAGAAGGATGAATTATTAAAAATCAATGTAAATGAGGTTGAAGGTCGGAGATGGTGGTAGAGGCCAATAAGAAGGGAGAGAGAGAAAACGGAAAGGGGTTGTATTGGAGGGTATTAAAGGAAGAAAGAAAAAAACAAAAAAAAAAGGAAGAAAGAAATAATTCTCATTGATGAGAAAAATTGATTGTACACCGATACATTTATTCGTATCGTATCTCTTACGGTGGCTTATCCGGCCTAACGCGAAGATTTATCTTCGTTCTAATGATTCAAATTAGCGAGGCAAACCGTCTGGAGTTTACGACAACAGGACCTTGAGTTTAATTAGATACCAGAGACGCGCGTACGGCATTATACATCGGGCACGTTTAATTTTAGCTGCCTTTACTCGCTTATCCGACGTAACGATCTCCATGTGTCTACGTTTTTACCCTGACGATTTTCGAGAATCTTTATATCGTATCGTAAAAAGTGTAGTATATATATATATATAGAATTATGTATATAATTATATATATATATATATATATGTACGTATATATATATATATATATATATATATATATATATAATTATATATATAATTCAGATCAACAAAAGTCGCGTAACGTTAAGCGGATAATATCGAAGGTGAGAAAAAAGAAAAATATATAAATATATATATATATATATATATATATATATATATATGTACATGTATATACCATGTATAATGTATGCATATATTATTTGATTATATACCATATGCAACATGTAAAAAACAAAAAAAAAAGGAAGAAGAGAAGAAAGAAAAAAGGAAAAGAAAGAAAGTTAGTAAGAAAAAGGACACGTTGAAATTGGGGATAGATGAGGAAAGGGAGAAATAAAATGTAAGAGGATTATGGAGGGGTTTGAGAGGAAGGGGGGTAACGTTGCGTATGGTTTTCTCCTTTCCCACTGGCTTCCTGACAGTCATTAGGGTAATCAACGAATTAGCGTTTCCGCGCTAAGAACTGGATAAGGCATAAAGAGTTAGGAGAGGACAAAGTGTTCCTCGGCACGCGATCCTGAGACCTCGTTCGTTCGTATCGTACGTTTCTTCGCTAAAACTAATTCGCCATGGTCGAGAGAAGGAGATATCATTGGGAGATATCGTCGATTATTTTCGACCGACGATAGGTCGAACGTATGTTGTAAAAAAAAAAAAAAAAAAAAAAAAAGATAAGAAATAATAATAAATAAATAAATAAAAGAATAATATAAAATTTAGATCAGATGGATCTAGGTGTATATGTATATATATATATGATCTTCAATAGGTACATATATATTATTACATTATACGTTGTTAATTGAAAATTATATTTTCTTTTTTTCTTTTTTTTTCTTTTTGTTTCTTTCTCTATTTTCTTTTTTTCTTTTTTTTTTCTTTTCCTCGACCGACATAAAACCACCCTTTGTTCTCTTACGTAAAGCCGTCCTTCGTTCAATCGTATAAGATTTCGAAGAAGTTTAATTATTCGGGAATATCGATTAGTAATGAAAATTTATCGGATAATTAACGAGTAATAATCGTCGAGTTAATACAATCGGTGAATAATTTCTTATGGTATTAAAAAAGAAAAAAAAAAAAAAGAAAAAAAAAAAAGAGAAAAAAGGAAAAAAGGAAAAAATATGAAAAGATATTTCGATTAATCTCGAAATCTGAGATTATTAAAGGATTTAAACATCTTTTAAGTACCTGACCATAAAACCAATGGTAATTGTCTCTCTCTCTCTCTCTCTCTCTGCCTGTTAAAATCTCTGTTAAATTCAACCCCTCTTTCGTCGAGACATGCAAATAACTCTGGGGTTAGTTAGTTAATGGGAGAAAGGATGGGGTAGGATAGAATGGAGAGGAGGTAGAGAGAGGAGGTCAGAGTGCTAGGGTCGAAGAGCGAACGAGCGAGTTCATTCATTAGGGGTTGATGGCTTAATTGCCAGCTCGCAGCATCATGAGTCTCACCTCAAACCACCCTTCCTCCATTCGTGGTAGTCGCCACGAATCCATGGACCCGTAGTTACTATCTCCCCCCGCCACCCCTCCCCAACCCCCAATCCACCCTTATTCTCTTATCCTTCTGTTTCTCCATCCCTGTGAAATACCAAGCATCCCCTTCCATCCTTCCTTCCTTCCTTCCTTCCTTTCTCTCAATGTTTCATCAGCAACAGGTTGTGTTAGGATCGGTGATTCAACCCTACTGGCTCGTTTGCAAGCATCCAACTCGTTTGCTTTACTCACCCTCAAATTAAAAGCGAGCCCTGGCATTAATTAATCGTCCCGTTCATGGAAATCCTTTATGGTTAGATTTAAAAAGTTATATCAAAGCTTTCTGTACTTTCTTTTTCTTCGTTTTTTATTTTATTTTTTTTTCTTTTTTTTTTTACAAAGACAAACGATATTTCCTCCCGTTCGTTTTCTTTTCTCGTGCTTCTTTTTTTTTCCTTTCTTTCTCTCTCTCTCTCTCTCTCCCTCTCTCTCTCTCTTTCTCTGTTTTTTTTTCTCATTTCTGTTAATCATCTTTATTACAACATTTCTCTCTTTCTCTCTCTCCCTCTCTCTCTCTCTCTCTCTCTCTATCTCTCTTTCTTTCTCTTTTTTTTTCTTTCTTCAGTTCATGGTATTATCTCACTTATAAAATCCCGCGAAAGTTGTTTGCGTATCCCATTTTAAGATCGTATATTTTCGTTTGAAAGATAAAGTCGGTAAAGTCTGTCGAATCGGTGAACTCGTAAGGGGGATGAGAGAATGAAGCGTTGATAATGGGTGAGCAGGTAACGTACAATTATCTCTGTGGTACATTCTTTCTTTCATTCTTTCTTTCCCAATATATATATATATATATATATATATATATATACATATATACATATATATATATACATAGATTTTATATATATATATATATATATATATATATATATGTATAGTGTACTGAGAGATGAGAGCGAAGGCAAAAAAGTACCGGCAGCATCTCTAATTGCCATACGAAGATTCCCAGAGGAGCGTTACGGCTGCACGGTAGTTGTACGTCGATTTTACATTGTTTGCACGATGAAATAAGAAAGAGGAGAGTGGCCGAGGGTCCCGTCTTTCGACACGGAACGAAAAGATTATCACGCCGCGAGAAAAGGGAATGCGTCGAAGTACATTTTTGGTGTGCTGCCTATGTGTTCACCAACCTCCTCCTCCTCCTCCTCCTCCTCCTCCTTCTTCTTCTCTTCTTCTTCTTCTTCTTCTTCTTCTTCTTCTTCTTCTTCTTTCTCTTCCTTCTTCTCCTCTATTTCTTCTCCGTTCTTCTTACGTTTCTTGATTGTACAACGTTGCACTTTGTTTATCGAACAACAAAGTCGAATATGTCTTTTTATAATATTATAATTAGATAACAATTTTTTTCTTCTTCTTCTTCTTCTTCTTCTTTTCGATCCATTAAAAATTCATATATATATATATATATGTATTGTTTATTCATATTTTTTAATTTTCTCGAAGAGTTAAAAAGGAGCAATTTTTTTTTTAATATTCCTCTTCTTCTTCCTTTTTTCTTGATCAATTTCACCAAATTGATTCTCGATCTCATTAAGGGATTAAAATATTTTGATGTTATTGATCGTTAATTAATTGAAGATTTATATTTTTTCAATTTATATTTTTTGTATGGTGAATCAAAAAATCATTATCTTTTTTGTTAATGTCAAAGTTTCGTTTCAATCTCTGCCTTTCTCTCTCTCTCTCTCTATCTCTCTGTCTGACATTTTGTCTCTTTGTCTCTGTGTCTTTACTGTCTACCCTTACTTTGTACTTTTTTAATTCTTTTACTCGTTCGTTCGTTCGTTCGTTCGTTCGTTCGTTCGTTCGTTCGTTCGTTCGTTCATTCGTTTTGCATAGAAGGTAACGACCATACGAATTTTCGCCATTTGTATGCGACACGGCTCAACCGTCAACGTGGGTCGACGTGAATTATCGCGAGTGTCAGGCCTTACGACCCGTCCGTACGAACGGTTTAATTTAAGGTTGGTGCTTTAATTCCTGGTAGAAAGCGCATTCGCAACGGTAGCTTGCCATGGAAGAGATAGATAGATAGAGAGAAAGAGAGAGAGAGAGAGAGAGAGAAAGAGACATATATATATATATCTTACTCTCTCTTTGGTGTGTCCTCGCGATTCGAATTCATTGCTTACTCTCTTCTGGGATTCCCTTTCTTGAGTTCAACGAGTACGCGAATATCATCCAGATTACGATCGCGATTTTGTCGATTCTAATCATTGTTTGATTTGTGTCATGACCCACGTCGGTTTTTACAATATCATAGAAATTTTAATTAAAAATTGTTAATCCATTGTTATATATCGACAATGATGATAATTATCATCGATCGTTCTCGTTTATTTTCAAAAGAATATTATTTTTAATTTAATAATAGAAATTTATTTTGAAATGAGAAAGAAGAGGAAAAAGAAGAAGAAGAAGAAAAAAAAAAGAAATAAACAAATAAAAACGCATTGTCGTAATTGATCTTACATTTAATTATTATATAATTTCAATCGATCGAAAATTGAAATTTAAAAGAAAAAGAAAAAGGGAAGAAAAGAAAAAGAAGTATAAAATAATATAAATTATCAATACAATATAATATCGATATATACGTGTATATCAGTCAATATGATTTTAATTAATTCGAAATATAAAATATAAAATTCAGACATATAGTATTCGATTAATTTAAATCAATTCGTATATTTTATATCGAGGTCATAAAAGAAGAAATAAGAAAATAAAAAAA